TTTGACGTAAAACTCGGAAGCGGTTAATGAGATACAGAATTTTGAATATTTATAACAGTGGAAAAGGTGGAAAAAAGGTGGTTACGCCCCTTTTTTTAAGGGGCGTTTTTAAATAGTAGTTACTGCATGCGGGTTTATTATTATTATTTCAGGTATATATTTATTCAATCAGACATACAACAAAATAAATTCATTACAAAATGACTTAAAAAGAATTACATTCAAATATACAAATCTATATATAAAATTATTCATTATAAAAATTACTCATTACAAAATCATTTAAAAATTACAAATCAATATACAACATTATTCATTATAAAATTATTCATTCATTAACAAAGAACATTCGGCAACAGTAACCTTTGGCAATAGAGATCGAATTGGAGGCTACTGGGTTAAAATAACATTACTGTACACAGGAACAACCAAAAAAAAAATGCCAATAAAATTTAACGAAAAAAAACTATTATAAATTAAATATCACCATTTAGTGAACTCCGTCAACAAGAAAAATAAAGAAAAATAAAGAGGCTGGCTGACCGCCAAGAACACTTGATGTTATTTAGAAGAGTCGTCATGTAAGGCAAAGGGCTGTTACGAAACCTTACAGTTTTAACATTATAATCCTTATATCGTTTTGTATTACGGAGGCACATGCCATGGGATTTATTATTTAACCTAAACCAGTGACTGAACCTCTCAGAATTAACAGCCTTCTTGGCAAAATTGATACATAGTGTGGTTCGGCGATCAGTCAGTCTCTCCAGTCCCAATATGTGAAGAGCTTCCGTATAATTATTAAATGCTTTAAAAAGAATGCACCTACAGACCCGTTCTTGTATGCGTTCAATTTGTGTTGATTGAGCACCAGTAAGCCCTGGGTGCCAGAGGGGGGCAGCATATTCTAGCACCGGTCTAATGTAACATTTATATATGAATACTAATTCTTCTCTGGAGAGGCCAGCACGTTTTAAGGACCACAATAAGTACATTTTTTTGTTTGCTTTCTTACATAAAGCTAGGGTAGGATGGTTGGCCAATTTTAGTTGTTTCACAAAGGGTTTGGTCGTCTACATACTTCCAGGCATCGATCCCCAATTGCTCAGTATCCTGTAAAAAGTCATTTATTAAAACCAGAAAAATAATGACAGCAAGACGGGTTCCCTGAGGGACACCTCCAGTTAAGGATATCCACTCAGAATATTTACCACGATACTTAATCCTCTGTCGACGTGCAGTAATGAAATATTCCTAATACAGTAATGGATTTCTTTGAAATCGCACATGTTAACCATGCCAATTCACAGAAAATTAAAATATTTTGCTTTTATAGCATTATTTAGACTCTTAAACAATAAAATCGCCCTGACCCACCATGGCTTCGCCTCTGGATCCTACCGGGCCCCTTTTGCGGGCCCCTGGATTCCACGCCAGAGAACCCCTTGGAAGAAACTCACTATGGGCCTGGTAGAGAGTTGCAATGCACATCAATAAACTCAGTGCTGGGGCGGATGCAGGGAAGTGCAAACGGTGCTGCGCTCCCACCCCACCCCCTCCCCCCCCCCACCTTTTTTTTAAATTGTATTAAGAAAAATAACTATTGTATTGTTGTTAGGTATGATGACAGTGATTTCCGGACAGGGACAGGCGCTGGTTCCAAACCTTCGCACCGTTCGCCAGTGCGAAGGCCAGAGTGAGAGATAAAATATTTTTTAAAATATAATGTGATTGCAGTGACTGGTGGTCTGGTGATAACTCTCTTTCTGTCAGAAATTCCACCTACCTAAACCAACGACAAAAATATTGACAAAATAAATGCAATACATTATGCATTGTCTAAGTATATAGTCGAAAATAAACTGCAAATCGACTGCGCGATGTACTGTGATAACGTACACTTTTGAGTTCTTTATTATTATGTTGATTTATGTCACAATGTATGGTTAATCAAAAATCAATCACAGGACTATATTCATGTGCGTGCGTTGATTCTTAACCTTATTGAAAGACATCATTTTATTTTATTTCGTTATTCAAATGTTACACTAAAGCGAAAACCTATTATTTTAATTACTATAAATGAATACGGAATAGGATGAAGAGCAATGACATGAATGGTAAGTGAATTTCAAATCAAACAGCGTTGGAAGTGGAAAAAGAATTAAAGAAAAATACTGGGAAATTGAAAAGATATCAAATTAATAAGCATAAAATACTGTATTAAATGGCAAGTAAAATGTAAAGTTTCCAGGCCCGTATATCCAGTAGGTGGGGTGTTTCCAAGAGTGCGTACGCACCCAACCACATTTAATAAGGTCCACATTTTAAAGATAATCGAGAATTTACTTAATACACATTTGTGGTTTTCTGTGATTTAAAAATAAAATCTCAAATTTTTACATATTAACTAGTAATCTTCTTAGCCTGTTGTGATTAGGAAAAACGCAATTTATCAATTTTTGAGGTTTGGCTTAGGGCCACCCTGTGGATGTAATCTATCATGAGAAGTTATCATATATACTCCAAACAATTTCTTAGAAATATGAAGTTATTATGAGAGTTACGCATTGTATCCGCCCACAAAGCATTTTTATCAACTAAGCGTTGAAATGTTGGCAATCAACCAATCACAGAAGACAATTATGCATATTTAATTACATTCCCAGCTGGTGGCGGTATAATAATATCAAGTTTCGTTATGGTCAGATTACAATTATTGTAAGAATTGCATTATTATTTTTCCTTTAACAAGAAGTTATAACTTAAGAGTTGTGGTCATAAGACTAATTTTATAATCATATTATTAACTAAGATTATTAGGTTAAACTTTCCACGTCGTCGGCGCGTGCACTGAAAACATCGGGTTTGTTTTTTTGGAAACTGGATCTAACATGTGTATAATGATAATATTGATAAACAATCAGAATGCTGCTATTGAACAATAACAGTTGACTTCTTATGTTGTGGTCATATTAGACTGTATTTTTTTGTTTGTTTTTTTAAAGAAGATCATTCAACAAACAACAGAAAACAACATTATTCCCACGTCGGTGCATGCATACAACGTAACTTGGATATATGAGATTGACAGTAAATAAAAATTACCTGTACCCTTATGATTTAGGCTTAAGGAAATATATAATGTATATGGGTCTGAACTTTGAAGGGGACAAAGTGTTCTCCCTTATGTTGTGGTCATAATTAGAATGTAATATCATTAAAGACCGTTCGACGTGCAAGCATAGATAGGCCTATAGCGTAATTTTTCTGATATAGGTCTATGCTATTTTAATGACAGTCGAGAATGTACTGATCATATAAATTTAGGGGCGGATCTAGATTTAAATGTTTAAATTAGGGGGGGGGGAAGAGGGTCAAAATGTTTTCAAACTCCAAAAATAAAGGGGGCCCGGGAAAATTTAGATTCCTAGATGGTGGGAAATTAGCTTTCCCAACTTCTGAGGTGTCTTTTAGTAATTTTTAAGTTCTTTCAAATTTCAAGGATTTCCCCATTTTAAAAACGGTCAGGTAAACTTTCTCATTCATAATACAGTAAATAGGCCTATTATGTGTGTAGCGGTATACATGCAGAAAAAATATGAGTAGTTGCATATGTATTCTCTTTCCCATGAATCGATGAATCCCAAAAAAGAAAGGGGGAGGGGATCGGGGTCCTTCTGGGAGCTATCCCATTGTAAAAATAAATAAATAAATAAAAAACATAAGCTAGTGGGTCCTGAAAAGGTAGGTATAGATTTTTTTTAACTTTTTATTTTTTAATTTTTACTCCCCCCCCCCCTCTCCCCCCCCTCTCCCTCCCC